GATAGGAAAGTAAGAAACATACTAATAGACCTTTCCTGTTATTAATGTTATCTATTACTCATGCACAAATTCTACTTCCTGTTAAAATTAAAAATTTATTGTTGTTATGTTTCCTACTTTTAGTTCCAATTACACATCCGTAAATGCCATTTTTAACTTTTATTAATGGTAGGGGAGCCAGTGACACTCAGGCAAGTTATTTGGGCAAAGCAACATTACAAATATTTCGTTCATTCTTACTTTGTAGAATATGGAAATACTTTGCTAGTGCCTACAGTGAGTCCTCGATAACGACGTTTTAAAAAAGCCTGTTTAGATAATGGCTTATGCAGATGTGTACCAAAAAAGTGTCACTGGCCCCCATACTATATAGACTAGATGACAGTTGTTAAATGTACCTATGACAGAGAATAATCGTCTTAGCCAACCTAACAGTTATTATAAGGAGAGGAATAAAAAATAGGTTGTATGGAAAATTACTAGATTCAAAAGTGCCGCGATTTTTTCGAGAATAATTAATGTGAAATTGTCTAATAACAGGAAAGGTGGATTGTCAGTTTTTTAAATAGCAAATAAAACACATATTTAATAAAAATAAAATATAGTTTTAGCTCAAACAAAGCGAATCGGCAAATAGCAAGAATCACGACTAAACTAGTTAAAATGGCAAGCTGGCAAGTTATCTATGTTGCAAGTGTGTTGAGCAGTTGGCCGGAGTAACTCCCACTCCATTTTTTTTTGTTTTTTTCAAGAACTGCTTATTCTCGGTTTTATCCTTGATTATGTTATTATTATACTCTTCACACAGTAGTCTGTGAAGAGTAATATAGGTTTACTTTGTCCGTCTGTCCGATGTCACGGTTTTTGTCTGCACGATAAGTTAAAAATGAAAAATGATATCAACTTGAAAGTTTTAATCAAAAATCATGTTCTATAAGAGGAAAAAGCCTATTGATAAAAAAAAATCTAATTAAAAATAGGGGTTAAGATGGGTTGAAATTAAAAAAAAAAACCTAAATATGAAAACGAAAAGCTATATCATAATGAAATTTTTAGTAAATATTAAGCTCTATAACATAAGGCCTATTAAATCTGAAAAAAATCTGAATAAATTGGGGGTTAAGGGGGTAGAATTATTTAAAAAAAAAACCTGACAAAGACGAAAAATGATAGACGAAAAATGATATCAACTTTAAAGTTTTAGCAAATATCAAGCTTTATAAGGAAAAGAAGTCCTTTGATTTTGAAAAAAATCTGAATAAAATGGGGGATTTAAGAGGGGTTGCAATTAAAAAAAAATCATAATTCACAAAAAAAAAATTATATATATATATATATATATATGAAATTTTTAGTAAAAATCAAGATCTATTATTAAATGAGGTTTATTGATTGTAAAAAAAAATTGACTAGAACTAGGGGGGTTAACGAAGGTTGGAATATTAATATCTAACTAAAAAACGAACAATATATCATGGATTAAGTATACTGATTCTGAAAAAAATCTGCTTGAAAATGGGGTTTAAGATGATCTGTTAATCTGTGAAGAGTATAATTTAGAATGCCACTCATTATATATCTTTATTCTAGTTCGTATCTGTGTGATGTTATGTATTGTTATGGGACTGATCTTAAAAAATAAACATTTTGGTTCACTTGTTTTTCAAAAATATTGTGAAAATGATTAAATTTACAATAAAAACGGTAGGTAAAGTTTCATATATTATTTATAAATGGTTTTTAACGTATTAAAAAAATAAACAAATATTACAATAACTAAAATATTTATTCATTCATTAAAAGTTGTAGTGCTTGAAAACAGTTTGATATTGATAATAACAACTACACTTATTACCCAAATAAAAAAAAACGATATTGGCCCTAAAATTTTAACCTAACTTACAAATGATAAAGTTATTGGAAAAAACGAACACCCAATTTAAATTATCACGAGCCGCCACTGGTCCTAGCCGTAACTAAGATAAACTGACTTTGAACAAATTCACAACTTGTCGATAACTCATAAATTCCTACGAATCGAAAATAAATTCAAAGTCATATCCACAGATATATGACCAAGAGTCATCATACAAAGAGACTACCTCCAGAATTTAAATCAATAATGAGAACCTTCTAGAGTTTTCAAACCTTTCAAATAATAAAGGTATCTCTTTCGACATCGATCTCAGAGGTGAGTGAAACAAAAGCGATAGTAACGCAGATATATTACGATTTATCAATTTATAATTTTACTATTAAAATAAATTATTGAATTAACAATGTAGATATACCTAGACATTTTCACTGCCAATATAACAGTAAAAACATAAAAAAATTACGTTAATCACATAAAATTGACGAATATTGATGAAAAATAAACTTTCTTGCTATCCCAATTAATTACACAAATTAAATACTTATTTGATTGCCTATATTATTTTTTTTTATCATTTTGTATCCCAATGTTTGTTCTTTTTTATTTGTATTTAAATGAAAAATATTTATTTTATTAAATAAACCCTATTAAAATGTATTTAACATAAGTAATTTGTTTAACGATCTGAATCAAAAGGTTTGTTCGTTATATTTATAGTAAAATAAAAAATATATATTATATCAAATACACCTAATTAAAGTGTATTTAACACAAAAGCAAGAAATATACGTAACAGAAAATGTTATTAAATCATAATTATCTTCTAAAATGCTTATTTATATAGTTTGAAATAGTTCTTTTTCTTTTTGAGACAGCTCTATTTCCTTGACTAAAGGAGCTCCATCTGATCCCATGTTACGATCAGTAACATGGTTGACTTGCGAACTGATTGAGAAAATCGTGGTTGGCACCATAATCCTGAAATAAAAAAAAAATTTCTGAATTAAAAACAACAATGCTTGCTGAAATTTATATATTTACTATCATTGGCACCGTGCGTGACAGCAGAGCCAATTAACTAATGAACTAACGGTCGATATTTTCGAATACTGACAATACAATTTTTTATAGAATTCGTAATTAAAAATATATATGTTGGTTTTAATAAAAGTAAATGGATTTGTAAAACAACCAAAAAAAATATTTAATTATCATTATATATTTTTATTGCTTTAGCTAAGAAAAGAAAATATAACACAAAAAAATCGGTAATAAAATAAAGGCAAGTAACAGTATTTACGAAAAAAAAGTATAAAAAGTTACGTAAGCCCAATAAGTTGTCATTTAAGAATAGGTTAAATAATGTCAAAATAAAAAAATCACCATTAAATAATAACGTGGAGTTAAAGTGTATTACCAAAAAAAAAAAAAAATAATTGGTATATTTGCGACTGTGATTATTTTTAGTTCCAAAGAAAGCATAGAATTAATGATTAAAACTGGTTTCTTATTAATAAGTCCTTGTTGAACATTTAAGATTTAAGGGATCTTGAAGAACATTGTAAAATTGTTTATTTAAAGTCTTTCTACTTTCTGATATCTACTATTTATAGTAATACTGGTATTATTACAAAATTAAAGGTACTGTATTTCTTCTTATTTTAGGTACAGCGGTCCATTTATTTTTTTGATTTAATTTCCATTTTTTGGTAGTATTTTTAAAATTTACAACAAGCAATTTCGGTTGCTCATTGTAAATGTTTTTACCTTTTTTTTTTTTTTTAAGTAAAGTACATGCGTGTATTTGATTTACCAAAATTAAAAAATATCACCCTAAAATGCTCGAATTATTCGCAGCTTGCGCTAGTATCGCTTTTGTTTACCTTACCATGTCTTCGCACTGACCGATTCGGAATGAACAGATTTAAACATACTTAAAAGTGTCTGTACTTTTGCATTAGACTTTTACGTTATGTGTTAAACTCGAGCTAGTCAGTTTTAGTGAGAAATGCCATGTTTTTAAAGTACCGTGATTTAGATGATATAAAAACATTTTTATTTCGTCAATCTTCAAATATAAAATTATTAACTTTAAATTAATCAAAATACGATTTTAAGTCGCTATTTTGATTAGACTTTTTGATCACTCAAAGTGCGTCCCCTTGTCATATCGTAAAATAGTGTTTATGTCGTCTCTACTTCATTCTATCTTGATGGGATCACACTTATTCAAGTTCAAAAAAATCCTCATACTTATCCTTTAATCTTAATCGTTTCTGAGCTATAGAATGTTTTATGATTTCCAAGCAAAATTATAGTTAGCCATTTTTTTACCAGCTACAGATTTTTCGACAAAAATTGGTAGAAAAGTTTCCCCATTTAGGTTAATCAAAGCTATATTTTAATATTATAAATCTCCAGGGCCAGACTCCTTTTCCATATGGCTCTTCTTACCTAAAATATCACCCTGTATATCGTTTTTTACTAAATGATAATGACCCAACAAACATTTGGTTATGACAAGTTAACGCCTTTAAACGTATGTACGTCGCTTCAAGAACTGGGGCCCAATTCTCGAAACATGCGTTAACTGCCGCATGCGCTAAGTAACGCATGGTCGTTAACGCATACGACAGCAATTTAGTATTCCTGAACACCATGCGATAATCGCGAATCAAGTCGAACGTGTTAACGAAGAGTCTTTGATTATTGCATAGTCTTAACCAATGAGGATTGAGAATACCAAAGATGGTATCACTGAATATGAGATAATTGCATTGACATACGTCAAAATTGCCAAAAATGAAAAAATTATAAAATTAAATGGATTGCAGATGTCTAATAATTTCTGGTTTTTAGATGTTTTAATTATGATTATTTGTATTTTTTACTTGAGAATTGGAGTAGTTTAGATTTAGAATATTAAAAATGGAACAGCGTGGTTCACGAATAACGGAAAAATTGCGTGAAACTTTAGTAGAATTTATAACATTGTTTAGTGCCTGTAAAACTCATATTTCTTCTATATCATCCATACTAAATAAAATAAACCAAAATAAAGTGGCACCTAAACGTCCAATAAAAGAGTTCACGGTACAAAAAGTTTCATTTTTATGTTCTAATAAAATGTTCAATAGTCAAATTAAAAATAAATATTTCCCAATAATAAATCACAAAACAAAACCAATAGATAGAAACACGAATCACATATGATAAAGCAGGATTAATTGACAATTATAACCTTACTTTCACCTAAACGAATGCGACAAAGTAGTTGTCGAACGGTCATGATCGCTCTTTGAAAATCGTCATTTCTTAGCGCATACGTTAATAAATTTGACGAATGCCGCCAGTTCAGGAATACACTTTCATCAAGTCGCATACGTTATCGCATGCGATAAGTTAACGAAGGCGTCAGGAATTGGGCCCCTGGCCTTTCGTGGGGGCCTGGGATTGGTATGACAACTTTTTTTCACAAACGGGCGGCAGAAGGCCGGCGTTACCCAGGCAGCAGACTGACGACATTTTTTGGTAATTCTTGGTCATTCTTGGTCATCGACGTCATGTTACCAAAAAAATGAGGTGATTATGACGTCACTTCTTTAAAATCTTTTTGACGTCACAAATTCGACGTTACTGTGACGTCAATTTATTGTCACTATTTAGTTTAGGTTTATATTAAACGTGATTTCAATACATATTATTTATGTAAAATAATATGGCCTAAACAATTATTTTTTAAAACTCTTAGGTCGATTACGTTTAAATCTGGCAATTAAATGCATAAAGATTGTATGACACCACGTAATACATGACTGCGTCTGTCTGTGGTTATCGGTCTATGGAGTATGGCTCGTGTGTGTTCAACCCGTTCGAGCAAGCACGAGAACGGTATCGCAGATTGTTGCATCGGCCATGTGTAATGGTGTGTGCATCGTGGATCGTGGCCCGTGTGTATTCAGGATTGTTGTTAAAAGTTAAGAGAAGGTCAGTGAAAAAAGTTATATCAGTATCAACCCGACATAAGGTATTTTTATATCTATATTATCCTTATTCTTTAATGATTTTATATCTTTTACATTCATAGGATGTTTCCTAAAATGTTCCCAGGGTTCGTGAAATAGTATAAAATGGCGGCACTCATAGAAAAATCATTGTGCCAAACCAAAATAATAACGAACAAGTTGGCCACATTTAGAGCAGTTGGATTTATATAAATTAATGTTTTTTGCCAATAATATTTCATGTATTTAAACTGTTTTTTCTTTTTAATTATAATTATTTCATTATCTAATTTTGTTTTATTAAGTGACCCACAGTTCCTATAGAAAAGTTACAAAGGAGTAACAATATTAAATGTAACGTCATGGTGACGTCTCAAATAACTATAAAGAATAACGACAAAGGTGACATTAAAACAACGTTATAAAAACGTCATATTGACGTTATAAAGACTACTGGGAAACGTCATAATCACGTCATATTTAGAAGTGAAAAGGGCGTCTAAATATGACGTCATTTGGGCTGTGACATATTCACGTCATTTTCCATAATATTAATGATAACTTCCCTTTATTGGGCTTGCATAAAGCTTGTAACTTTACCAGGCCTAAGTAATAAAAGGCCTGCACATGGCCAGCAGTTTCCCATAATATTAATGTTAACTTTCCTTTAATGGGCTTGCATACGGCATGTCACTTTACCAGCAATATGTATTGAAAAGTCTGCACTATGCCATAATATTAATATTAACTTCCCTTCAAAGGAATTGAATTGGCCAATTATTAAAATGATGCTGGACTTTTAAAGAGACTGTACCACGTATGAGATATAACAAAATATCCTCAATTTTAGCTCCCTTGAAGGAAAAAAGTGTTACCTAAAGATTAACGACTAATTAAAGGGCTGTTTTAAACTGTGCTCCCATTAAAATACGTTCGTTTAAATCTGGTCACACTGTATACTAAAAATGTTTTATATGTGGTGCTTTAAATATAGCTAACGGTAATATAACGAGACCTTGATAAATAGTTAACTATTCTTATTATATCCAAATTCAGAGTGTTTTGTTTTTGATATCAATTTGTCGATACATTAGTTTGTAATCAGATTAGAGTTTAAGAGATTTAGCTCAAGAACTCTATTCTTTGATTAATGACCAAATTATGTCGAGACAAATTGCAAAATACCTGAAAAATTTTGTAACAATAGAAATAGGTGCTGATTTATTAAGGTTGAGTTATGTTTAATGAGATTATTTTTAGAGCCCTAGATATAACTTAAATAAATAAATAAACAAACAAAATAACTTTTTAAATTAACTTTTATTTTTGGTTCATTTTGAAACGTTCTATAAGATATTAGCTTCTACTCTGAAAATTAATATTTGACAGTAGTTGTTATAAAATATTACACTCATAGATCAGGTACATAAAGATAGGAAACGCAACGACCGCAGCAGCGATAACGTCATCTATACATCTCAGACGTTAACTAAACTCAACAAACATTTTGGTCTGAAGAAATAATGGCCCAACAACTATCTGCCTTTGTTGGAGCACGTATTGGACTAGTAACACATGCCACATGAATAAATTTAACAACCACAAAATGGCTTTCTTTAATTTACCAAAGTAAGATCTAGTCATGTAAGTAACACAAACAGTAGTCAATTTTTGTTACAAAGTATTTATTTATTGTTTTAGAGAGCAAGAAAATAGCTAAGAAGAAAAATATAGGAATTTCCATTATGGAGTTTGTAGTCAACATTTTTAAAAATGAGACACTACTGGTCACTCGTTTGGAAAATACGCAATAAGCAATAAACAAATTTGCTATGCTCTAGGTACTAGTTGTATCTGTTGTTTATTAATATACCAACCCATTAATATTATCATGGTTTTGTTGTTTGACAATCCATTTTTAACGTTCTGTTCTCTTATGTATTACTAGCCAAGACTATTATTCTATTATCAGTTTATGCGCTCATGTCACTTGTCAACCTTTTTACTTGCTTCCGATCATGTTAACGACCATCTTATATCACTTTCGAGTACCGCCACACACCATACACCGAAATTTTCAAACCGTAATTTCGCAGTTATATCTAATAGTGTACAAGTGTTCCTGTGTGAATTAAAATTAAGTTTGGTCTCCTGATATATCGACTTTTACCATCAGGATGATGACTCCGGTGTGTATTCTTGTTGTTCTGGAGGTTTTTTCAATTGCTGGTCACCTCTGCATACCCTCGTGCCAGGTTTAACAGGACGCCGCTCTCCTACTGTCTCTATACTCCAGGAGTTTCTATACGTTTACGTTAACAACGACTCCCATTCTTAGTGCCTTTCCTACTTTTATCTCGTATTTTGTATTAGGAAGCACCTCCGTCTAGTACGGTGGACAGAACGTATATCCGCTGGTCTTGGATTTGGAATTTCGATTTGTAAAACCACATTGAAGCCCTCATCAAGAGCCAGAGATAACTCTGTCAAGAGCCCAATAGTCCGACTTAGCCGGATGTCCCCTTATTAGTTTAATTTTGTCGCGTCTTTTTATTATGTAAGTACCACACTGTTTAATGAATTTTTCTCATATTCATTTGCTTATTCACTCTTATACTACGAAGATTTACTTTCATATAGGCAGTGGCGGTTTGCCCGTAAGGACATGTGCCCTAGTATAATAAAACAAAAAAAAATAACTTACATATTTTATATTTTCCTTAATGCCTATTATTATTTTATCTAAAATTCAGCGCAAACTGCGTTGGCACGACACTGGACGACCGGGCGTTGAGCGACGTTCCGAGAATTCCGAAATTAAATAGAAGATGGGCACAGTAAATGTGTGCCTCTGTTGTTTTATTTTTCATTATGATGCGAAAAACAAGGACAACGACAATATCGCTTAGCAAGAGATGAACACATGCGATGGATTATACGTCACAAGCGGGGCGGTCCTTCTTCATCGTGACGTGCTGTACCCATGGCACAGATTACCTAGACCAGATACGAATGTACGCAGCAGCATCTTTACCGGCTCCCCCATAAAGACGATGCTGGTTTCGGGTTAAGGTGCGCGTTTGTTGGACCATGACAATAATTTATTTATTGTAATTAAGAAAAAAAGTTGGACTATTGGAATAGTTAAGAAATAAAACTATAAAGAAAAATAACTTTTTTTTATAAAGCAGTCAAAAATATGATGAAAAAAAATCAATAATATTTATAAATGGGACAAAATTTTAATTTTTCTTTTGGTTTTATCTGACTTTTTCGAGGATTTCAAATCTCTGTTTGCATATTTAAGAGTATAAAAAATTCTGAGTCTTATAAATAATTTAATGGTGTACATTTTCGCAAATTGTTAGCAAGGATGACCAAATTCTATTTTGCTTATCTCAAAAAGGTATGCGTTGGAAATTCCAGGCTTTGTTGACAAACTATCAAATATAGAGATATAAATATTTTTTCTAATTTGAAAATATAAAAGAGAAATTTTTCGCTGTGAGATTTTAAATTGCCAAACACTTTTTCTTCAGAGTCGTATGCTTTAAAATGCTCCTACACGATGGAATTTTACATCGAAGTGTATCGATACTATTTATGTTTATAAAGAGGATTTGATTAAATGTCTCGAAGAAATTATGAACACAGAATTCGATAAAAACACTATTAATCAGACTCAAGGGTTGATAAATTTTGAAAGACAGATTTTAGTTTCTGGTTATTTTTCTTCAGCAAAATAATGCCAAATTGCAATATACTTTTTGATCAACTGCAGAGTAGATAGCTCGATGCTCTCAAGGTTAAGATAAACATATCAAATTTTGCAGCAGCTATTCAAAATATGAGAAATAATAGACACGCTAATTCATGAAGAATGGCAATCACAACAAGACCCACAAGAACTAAACTTAAACGACAACGCCCAATCAGGTCCAAGTACAAGCAAGAAGAGACGGTTTATTGAAAAGGAGGACCCCATTCCTAATTTAAGGATATGTAAGGAAATTTGTGATACAATAGTAGTGCAGGTAAATAAACGTTTTAGTTTTATTACCCACCTATCAATTGCAAGTTTATTTGATAGTGAAAAATTTAAAGACCTCCGAGGTTGTTTTCCAAATGAGGACGGTAAAACTGTGTGTAGTTTATTTCCAAACGTAAATAGCTTAAAATTGAAAAACGAACTGTCCATACTTTACACCCGAGATGACTTTGTGCAACACAAAGGGGCCGTACCGTTATCACAAATGTTTTTTTGAGAACAATTTGACAATTACATTTTCGGAATCTGTGGAGCTGCTAACTATCCTGTGTACAATTCCCATGACCACAGTGGGGAATGAAAGATGTTTTTTGACACTAAAACGTATTAAAACAATTTTAAGGAACACTATGTGCCAAGATAGATTGTGCGCGTTAGCCATGTTATCCATCAAAAAAAAACTTATTCGGTCCATTCCAAATTTTAATAGTCTGGTCGTCGATCACTTCGTCAGCCAAAAATCCAGAAGAATGAACTTCAACTACAAGAAATAGTATGCAACTGCAGCGGTACCTAGCAGTTAGTCTTCAATTTTGTAATATTTAATTTGTTTTGAAATATATTTAATTTTCATTAAGCGGAGAACTTGTTTTCCTAAGGGAAAAACGAATTCCGGCATTCCTTTCCAGTGTGTGCCCCACTGCCGCTAGTGCCCACGAGCTGCCACTGCATATAGGTTGATAGATTATTAATAATTAATAATAGGTTTTTATTGTCAAATTGCGTTTTAACATTAGTCAATACCTAAATTAGTTATATATGGCCTCACCATTTAACTTAAAACTTTTCAAATGCCTGATGTTCACATATTTCTTATTTGTAATAGCTTTTATTACTACATTTATTTATTAAAATTAGATTGTATTCTGTCATAAATTATTTAAATTTTCGTTAATAAGTATTTGTTTAAAACTACTCCAAATTTGTCAAATAATCTTTTTAACACCTTTTTTCTACATTGTCATTTATTGTTAAAATACTTTAAACATTGTTGTAGTCTCGTCAGCTCTTTAAGTACTAAGTTAGTAATCTGATAATTTAATCACATGTTAATTATATATATTTCACATTCTCATATATCATTAACCCATTAATTGTTAAAATACTTTTTCTCTTTCAATCAAATTAAGTCTCATTAGCATACTGTTTTACAGGCCTGATGATGGTCACTGACTAAAACTAGTAGCTTTCCCTGTTTTCAATAACAATAAATAATTTTTGTGGTCAACAGTTTTTCCTTTCCTTTACGGATATACCACATTGATGACCTTCTTATTCACCTTGATAGTCAGCTATTTTTAAAGCAGTTTATGCAAGACGTGGCACTACTAGTTAGGCAATCGCTATTATAGCAACAGTGTATTGTGTATTGCATATTCTTAACCATCAATACATAGATCAGTTACAGCATGGTTACAGGTCAATATACATTGGGAAATAAAACAGAATGATCGTAAGACATAAGCGTACCAAATATTTTATCAAAGCTAATGAAAGCTTCGCATGTTCATTTAAATAGTTTTATAACCTCGTTGAACATACGTTCGTTTTACTTTTAGGTTAAATTATCCTCCATTATTGAAGCGCCATTATTTTAGTGTTTGTAACAAAATTTAAGGACTTTATACATATTAGTATTATAAACATCTAATCTTGAAACAAACAAGTAGTTCTTAATATTGCAGTTACTTATTATACAAGGTGGCTCAACGGAAACTAGATATGGGGGGTTTTGGGTATTAATATCGTTGATGTTACTCGAACAGCCCGATTTTAGTTTTGAGGGTGACACCTTTTTTTCTAACCGCAGCATCCTCACTTTAACCCACGAGAAGTGGGGTGAACAACCCCTACAATTTAAAGAGGGAAAGTGTCATGAATGATACATCATTGAAAATGTAATTTATTGGAGAATTCGGCAATAGTTGCATTACTTTTGGTTTTAGCACGGTCTAGCTGGACAAAATACTGTTACGTATTTTAAAGTGTAACACTTTATTTGAAAGCTAATTACTTATTCAATTCACCACATATCATTAATCTAAACTCCATATATTCAGCACAAACAGGTCCATTAGACATCCGTCGATATATATTTCTAAATGTGTGGACGTCCGATATCCAATGGAAGTAAAATGAAGTGTACAAACGGCACACTTTTGATCATTTAGAACAGGTCCCTTTCTGAATTATATTCGGGCATTGCACATCCACCCAATCAACGTTAAAAAATGACCAATGAAGGTTCATTTATGATAGAACACGACATTCAAAAATTGTCCTTTCCTGGATTATATTCCATTGCATTACTTGAGGCTATATCCTCCCACTACACACTATTATAGATTATTATTAATCAAACTATTCATTAATTTCGCATTCCGCCATAAACCATTATTATTTTTTTAGTTTATTACAAACGATGGACCTGAACGGGAATCGAACTCAGGACACGTGAATCCTCCTAAATTGATAGGCGCCTTTTAGCTCGTCGGACAACCTACAGATTTATTGTAGTTGATAACGTCGCCGAGAGGTGCTTTTCTTAGATCTGGTAGGCTAAATAAATAATGACCACTGGACTTCAAACTACTAATAAATTTAAAATTAGGACAAAAAACAGACAAACACTAGGAATCGATATGCAGCTGTTAAATTAATGTTCATAAACGGACGTACATTGGACCTCTGAATACAGCTATGGATGTTCTGACCCCCCAAACGGTTTTAAAATGGACGTTCATTGGATTAAGGGTGCTGTGTAGGTAACAACAAATTTGTTTTGGAAATTTAAATTAAACTTCACCTTGAAATCCCATCATACACTACGATAATATCTAAAATAGCAATAAAATTAATACTTACCTAGAAAATATATTTTTCTTTAACATTCCATCTGTTTCGTTAAATGTTTTGACACCCGCGCAAACCATCAGCCACAATGCAAGCCCATAAACACATAGGAATCCCATTCCTGCGATATCCGCCATACTATCTATGCTATCCGTGACATCCTGATATCTCTTAATCCAATTGAAGCAGTAGAAAAGTTTGTAGAAGGCTGTGCATGTCATATAAAATACCATGGGCTTAGTGATTTGCTTCGTTTTCAAAATCACATGCACTTGGGGAATGATAGCTAGAGCTTCAAGGAGTTCACTGAAGGACCAGAATAACTGAAAGAGTATATATTTATTTTCAAATTTTTGTAGGTAAAAACACTATAATCTAAATAAAGTGGGAGTGCAGTAAAAGTGGGGATATAACGGCACATTCCATAGGCGTACTTTGCAAAATAAGTTTCTATAAAATAATTATGGTCACGACATATAAAATGTTATATACGAGTATACGCACTTTGTAGATTAAATTTTGAATGAAAAAAGTTATAATATTTACAAAAAAAAAAAGTAAACCTTATGCTTCTGACAAAATTAAACTTTTTTTAATCTCTTAGTATTAAAAGTACCTAAAATCAAAAATAACAAAAAAAATTAAAGTTCAAGAACTATCTTTAAAAGCACTGTATTCACTATAACTACTTGTATCATTATCATTGTTTTTTAAGGTTTATTAATATAGGGTCTATTAAGTTTTCCATTACACATTCACTTTTTAAAATGAATTTTCCACCTTTTAACATGATAAATGCATTTTCCCCAATGTTCTCCATTTACATCTAAAACTACCTTTAAAAACAAGTTTCGCACATCAGATAATTTAAATGTTGTATTGTTTCGAGAAACATAACCTTTTAATTTTGACCAGATCAGTTCAATGAGATTTAACTCTGCGTGATAAGAGGGCAATCTGAGAATTTCAATTCCTTTTTCTCGGGCCATCTCGTCTGTAATATATCTATTGAATTTGTTTTTATGTTGCCGTGCTATTACGAGTAATTCTACCTTCAAGGATTTGGGAAGGTAGATTAATAGTTTTAGAATGAAGCCATTTTGAAATACCTATCTTCTTTTTCCATCTTGTTCTAGGTGGTGACTCCTTTAATCGACTGTGATAGGATGCATTATCCAAAACAGTTACCGATTTGGCTGGAAACTTTTTATAATATTCTGAAACCAAATTTCAAACATAGGGCCATTCATTTCTTCATGGTAGTCTTTTGTTTCCTATAACTCAAACATTAGTAAACCATCTGGCAAAATTTATCAATGCTTCCAATGTGAGTTATTATTATTATATCTTCTTTTATAATGTTGCACACTGTAAGCTTAGATACTCCAGTATAGGTCTCACCTTTAGTGGCTATTTCGTCCTCAGAAAGTGAAACAAAGTCATTTCAAAGATTATTAAATGCAATAAGTACGATAGTTTCTTCTTCTAAATATAATGCTTTATGTCCACTAGGTCGTTTACGCGTACTTGTGCTTGCAATATTTTCTCGGAATTCTTATATAACTGTAAAATTATAATATTATAAATACTCATTCAAAATTCCGAATCAATTAAAATACATAGAATACGACTAATAATAAAGTCTGAGTTATTTGTCAAAAGAAAAGGTTGATTACAATAAAAATTATAAAAACATGGTTAAATCTAAACGAAAACTTTTATTAGGCCGATCAAAAGAATTAAAATTTTCATTTTAACTACAAATAAGCATTGAAGGTTGAGGTAAAAATAAAATGTCTACCTCTTGAACCTGTACTACGTTCTGCAAATTAAATTATTGCACTCCTTTGTTCCCTAGACTATAATGCTAGGAAAATTGTATTTACGGCACTAGTACGGAAAATGGTTATTTAATCAAGGTGGTATCAAAACGAGTTAAACTATTTAACGTATTAAAATAAAAAATACCTCTACTGTCTCATTATTAGCGTAGTTTTTGACTGCCCCCACCATGGCGAAGAACAATAATAATTCGCTGTTGAAATTATCGTGTTGATCGACGTCCTTATACCAGTATCCCATCAGAAAAGTAATCAAGGTAATACCGATGAAAAAACACTTCATAAACGAATTGTAGTATGATACAAAATAGTCAAAAATGTCCAAATATCTGGTGATAAAAACCATGCATAGTAGTAATTGGGTTCTTTGAGAAACTC